CTTGGCTACTAACCAAAAGTTTGGGAGTTCAAATCCACCAACCGCTCCTTGGAAACCCTGTAGGGCAGTTCTTGTCTGTCCTATAGGGTTGTTATGAACACACAAGAGAAAGAAGAATGCCAGGAATTGGATTCTCTGCTTTTAGTTTAGTTACCGGAGAAAATATTTTTGAAAACTCTAACTCCTAGTCTCTTCCTCATCTGCAAGACTTACTCCCTTTTCCTTCAGAAGAAGCAGGAAGTAGCAAGGGTTGAAGTGCTCTTTGGTCTCTGGATTAGAAAATATTAACTCATCCATCAATGATTAAAGATGAGTGAACCAAGTTCAATGTCATGCCCATTTTTCCAGCTATCCATCCATCCATCCATCCATCCATCCATCCATCCATCCATCCATCCATCCATCCATCCACAGACTCATCTAAGTCAGGGATTTAAAGATACAAAGATGAATAAAATAAAGATCCTCCCTTCAAGAAGTGCACATTCCATTAGGAGATGAGTGGGAGAAACACAGCCAATAGGATTCAATAATTCATTTTCTGATGGGGCCAGCTAGTCTATATTCTAACTTTTCCTTGTTCATTACGTTTCTGGCTACTTTTCAGTGAACATCAAACTCCAGAATTATCCAAGTTCAGAGCATCTTGGACAAATTGTGTGACCAGATAATTAGCTGGTTGTAGTGGAAACAGTCCTGGGCTGAGACTAGAGCTACCAGGGACAGCAAGACAATCATTAGCTTTAAGTCTCCCAACAGATTCATCTCCCTGGGCTTCCTCATCTATAGAATGAAGAGGTGGGACCAGATAATCACTAGATTTTCTTGTTGCTCTGACATTCTGAAAGTTTATGATTCTGCCTAAGTCTAGAATTGTGCCTGTGGATCTCTTTGGAATAAGTGACGGGCTCCAGAACTAGGACTCAGAAGTCATTGATCTGGACAGAGACTTCCACGTGGGAGGGGTTTCATAGACATGATTCCATTGGCACGTGTGCTCCACTGTAGTTTACAAAGCACTTTCACACCCATTTTCTGATGTTATCTTCATGAGAACCTGGTGAAGTAGCTGTTATCACTCCCGTATTCATTATGAGGAAACTAAAGCCCAGAGAGCTAAATGGTTAATTAAGTGCTAAATGCTTTAGATCAGTTATCTCATTTAATTAGCATAATAACCCTATGATATCTCTCCTACAGTCTTTTTCTTCTTTCTCCTTCTTCTCTTCTTCCTCCTCATTCTAGTTTTTCTTCTCTTTCTTCCCATTTTAAAGATGAGGAATCTGAGACTCATGGAGGCTAAGTATTTTTCACCCAGTTAGTAAGCATTGGAAGGATTGGAAGGAGCCCTGGTGGCACTAAAGGTTAAGCACTAGACCGCTAATTGAAAGGTTGATGGTTCAAACCTACCAAGTGGCTCTGTGGGAGCAACACCTGGTGATCTGCTTCTATAAAGATTACTGCCTAGAAAATCCTATAGGAGAGTTCTAGTCTGTCACACGGGGTCACTATGAGTCAAAACTGACTCTATAAAATCTAACAACAACAATAGTAAGCATCAGAGCTAAGATTGAAACCAAAGTCTTTCTAAACCTAAAATCTGTTCTTACAAGTTTAGTCAGAAAGTTAAATGCCCACAGGGACTGGAGGATTACATAAAAAATAAATTATCCAGGTGGAAGGATGATTTCATTTTATTTTTAACTTAACAAAAGAAAAATAAGAGCACAAGTGCAGTAATAAAGGAAACTTACATTTTGCATTGCATTGTATATTCAATAAGAAGTGATAGAAAATCGTAGAACAGAAAAGCATACGCCCTAAAGAGGGAAAGCTGATAATTGAGTTGATGGAAGGTAGGCTCACCTACGCCAGATCTTTTGACTTTAAAATAGAAGTCAGATGTCTGGAATCTTAAGCAAAATCTCCCTATTTCTAAATATTCATAATTAATTATAAAATTATGTAAGCAAAAGTATATATGCAAAAAATCCCATCTTGACTACATATAGCTCACAGGATACCAGTTTATGATTTCTTTATTTTTATTGTAAAAAAATATATAATACACCATTTACCATTTCGACATTTTTCACATGTACAATTAAATGACGCCAATTACACCGATCATGTTGTGCAGCCATCACCAATATCCATTACCAAATTTTCCATCACCATAAACAGAACTCAATCCCTCCTCTTTTCCTCCTCCCTCCTACCCCTGGTAACCACTATTAAACTTTGACCTCTATGTGTTTGTCAACTCTAGATATTTCATATAAGTGAGATCATACAATATTTATCCTTTTGTGATTGACTTACTTCACTCAGAATAATGTTTTCAAACAAAATGTGGTATATACATACAGTGGGCCATTACTCAGCCATAAAAAGAAATGAAGTCCTGATACATGCTACAACACAGGTGAACCAGTTCATTATATCTTTCCTACCCTGTGCTGTCCTCAATGTCCATAGCATTAGCTAAGCATCTGCTGTACAGGCATCAGTTTGTTCAAATCAACCCTGGGGTATAGCAGGCACCCATTTGTCCAGCTATGCCTGTCTCTTACAGTCAGAATCGACCATGAGTGGATGTGGAATATTTTAAATATCATTGTCAACTGGATGCTTTTGTATAAAATAATTGCCTCAATCCTTAGAACGACTCATAAAAGAAGATTTAATTATCTCCACTTTGCAGTTAAGTAAATTAATAATTCACATTGGTTAAAAAGGTCACACAGCCATAAGAGGTTGATCCGAGACTTTAGACTCTGCTCTGACTCCAAGTTGTCTTCATTTTTAGAGTCATCTCTATCTCTGAGGCTGTTTTAGTTGCTTCAAGTTAGAGAAGTTTTTCTCTTTTATGTCTATCTGGGCAGAAGCTGAGACAAGTGGAAAGGTAAAGGCCTAGCATCATCTTTCAGGAGAGAAGGTACCTTTGCCACCCCTCTCCAACCCCACCGCCAGGTCTTCTAGGAATGAGGAAGCAACTGATCAGGTGAAGAAGGAGGAAGGAAACAAGAATCTGCTCCTTTCTAGTCCAGAAGCTTTGACACTGTGACAGGACACTCCCACACACTGTAGATGACTGCAAGGACAGGCACACAGGGAGGGGACTGGCCATTGGGATGACACTCTGATGAGCCAGGCAGATGCCAACCGCTTGTCTCATGGCCCAAACCAGACCCAGAAACCTTTATATAAAGACAGTCCTCTGCCCAGACGCCTCAGTCTGGATAACTGCTTGCCTGTGAGGAGGGTGAGTCCAGGGACTGGGTCTTGGGATTAGGGTGGGGGTGATGTTCTGGGGTTGCCTGAACTCACCGGGAAGGAGTTGGGAGCAGAGGAAGAGTGGTACATCAACCTGAGAAGAGAAGTCAGTGGCTTTTTAGGGGACATGAGAAGGATATACGTGGGGTTTGTGTGAAGAACTGGGCTGTGAAGTCAGTGAACTATGCCTTTGATAACCTGGGCCTCACCCTCAGGTACCATTTTTCCTCATCAGGACTTGCTCTCCCAGGAAAAGATGCATTAGTAATTCACATCTTGTGAGCAGAGTTGTATGTAAGAAGGTTTCCTTTCCCTAGCGCATGTATATTTAGATACTCTCTATAAATGAAGGATGGAAGGCTCTGTCCTTCACTTAAACATTTTAAGTTTTCAGCACTGTGGGAACTCCCATTGCCGTTGAGTCTATTCTGACTCATAGTGACCCTATAGGACAGAGAAGAACTGCCCCATAGAGTTTCCAAGGAGCGCCTGGTGGATTCGAGCTGCTGACCTTTTGGTTAGCAGCTATAGTTCTTAACCTCCATGCCACCAGGGTTTCCGTGAGAGCTCATAAAGAGGTGTTGTGTTGGATGAGCCAATTGTCAAACCAGCCTCCCTGCTGTGCCGGTCACTTGACCGCCTGTACTGAGCAGGTGGATTTGGGGAGGTCAGAGGAGTGGGGACTTCCCAGTGTTTCCTCCCTGGCTGTGTATGATGTTCGAGGGTATGCCTGCACCCAACAGGCCATGTTTGTAATGCTCCAGCTGCGTAGGTTTCTAATTGCGGCTGAATGTCAGACTTGTGATTAAGAACCCTGCACTTTCTGGGATGCCCAATCTTGGCTGACTCCATCCCGCCTCTCAGAGGGGCCAGGAGAAAACACTTCTGAAGCCAGAAGACAGTCATAAACACAGTGAATGAGCTGCCTGGGCAAGTCAGCAAGTTGGTCCTGAGTCTTTCCAAGGCTAGTGTGTTTTGTATGTACCTGTTTTCGTATATGTCCGCAGAAGGACGGTTTAAACAAATTTACCTTAAAAAGATGCAATACAGAAGAACATTTTATGTTGGATTTCAGCTGCCAAATAATCGAATGGATCCTTTATTTTCCAACTGAATGCTTTGACGTTACGTCAGCACAGATGGCACCTGAATGCATGATTTCATTTGTGCTTTTGTGTGTGCTTGCACATATATCTGTGCTGCTATTCTGTGTGTGAAGAAATTCAAGTTCCTGTGGGCACGGAGTCCCCACTTTGGGCTACACCCTCAGGAGCACGTGTTACCTTCTACTTCCTGTAAAGTTCACCCCCATCACTTAGCGCCCGAGTAAGTGATGGAGAGCCTCTTGTCATCAGCGCCCTCTGGTGCTAGACGCCGGTAATGTCCATCTCCCAGACAGAGACCCTGGACCCCCTGCAGCCCTGAAGGTGTAGAGTTCAAAGCATGTGTCTTTGAAGCTATCTCAGAAGTGCACAATGAGGTCCTTTGGCAGATCCAGGACAGGTTTCACAGGTAATGATGACTCCAGACCTGGGTCCAGGTAATTTAGGAAGGATTCTCTGATGGGGAATTACAGAGCTTGATTTGGGTTGAGGTCAGTGGGAGCAAAGCCAAGAAGGAAGCAGTGTGGCTTTTCTAGTTCCCCACTGTTCCTCCCCAACAACTCTCATCCTCCTGATCTTCCCTCTACCCTCAGGTCCCGCCCACTCATCTGCATTAGGACCATGTGTGACCAGCCGCTGATTCCATCTTGCCTGCCGCTCCCCCAGTCCTGTGTGAAGGGTTCCTCCTTCTTCCCCTCCCCCTCCCCCTGTGCCACAGGCCAGGTAGTGGTCCAAGCTCCTTGTGAGATGCAAATTGTGGAATGCCCTGCACCATGCCCAGTTCAAGTTTCCCAGGTGAAGTGTGTGGCTCCATGCCAATCCAAGACCACCCAGGTGAAGGGCCAAGCTCCCTGTCAGACTCAGACCACCCAGGTGGAAAGCCAGGCCGCGTGCCAGTCTGAGGTTTCCTATGTGCAGTGTGAAGTCCCATGTCCCGTTCAGACTTGCTACATAGAACATGCTCCAGTTTGCTGCAGAGAAACTTGTTACGTGGAATACCCAGTCCAGACCTGTGTAACCTGTCCAGTTCCACAGCCTGTCCAGACTTACGTAACATATTCCCCAGTGTGCCAGAATCAGGGGAGATTCTCCGTCCAGGGCCAATATCAGGGCTCCTACAGTAGGTGCACCCCCCAGAGTCAGTCCAGAGCCTCGTTTAGCACTTGTGCACCCCAGTGCCAGACCCAGGGCTCTTATGGGAGCTTCACTGCACTGCGTCGGTCTCAGAGCGCCAGAAGATGCCTCCCTTTTTCTCAGCTGGAGTCTTCTTACCGCAGCTGCTCCTTACCACGGGGCCTTGGGTGCTACTACAGCATCTGCCTGCCATCAAGATGCTGTTCGGATTCCTGTTACTGCACCCCGCCCCGCCGCTCTGAGCCCATCTATAACAGCGGCTGTTCTCGGAGTCGCACTTCAGGCCGCTCTCAGAGATGTGGACCCAAGTGTCGAGTAGAGATTTCCTCCCCCTGCTGTCCCAAGCAAGTCCCCCCACAGAAGTGTTCTGTTCAGATTCCTCCCATTGGACGCTGCTCCAAGATCTGTGCCCCACCGTTCTCCTGTCGTGCCTCCTGCCCCGACCTGAGGCCATGCCAACTGCAAAGTTCAAGCTTCCGTCCACCACGCCGTCGTGACCAATGTCCAGAGCCATTGCTGCTGCCATGTCCGCTTCCTGAACCTCGGCCATATCCACGTCCCTGTCCGCTTCCTGAACCTCGGCCATATCCACGACCCTGTCCGCTTCCGGAACCTCTGCCATATCCACGACCCTGTCCGCTTCCTGAACCTCGGCCATATCCACGACCCTGTCCGCTTCCTGAACCTCTGCCATATCCACGACCCTGTCCGCTTCCGGAACCTCGGCCACATCCACGACCCTGTCCGCTTCCT